ACTGTGAACCCGAGGAAGCTGTGTACACAGTGTGTTGGATATTGGAAGAGACGCTGCACATGGCAGTGTTTTCTGCGCGAAGGGGAGGAAACAAGGTAAGTCTCTTGGTGCCCCAGCTTCCAGCCTCGAGGCAGTTTCCAGGCCCAGCACTGGGGGGTGGGGGCAGAGCCCTGCAGACCTGATGAGTAGAGCCAGCACAGTTTGGCATTTGGGGAGGCCAGGCGCCTACAGTCTGCCGATGCTGCAGGTGTGGCATAAACTCCCGGGAACCCAACGGGAAATCACCAGAAAACAGAAAGGCTTAAATAGTGTTTCTACCAGCCATGGCAGAAAACCATGTAACACACAGTGCAGACCTCGGGGTAGAGGCCTCAGAAAGCTGTGACCTCAGCAGTGGGGTGAAATCAGCCCTCAAGCAAAATCAAAAGCAAGCCCCAAAAGGATCAAACTGATCCTGAGTATCTTAACTGCCTGCTGGAACAAAGTCCGACATTCTTTAAGGAGCACAAAACCAGCCCACACTGTACGAAATTCACAATGGTGGAATCCAGGTAGAAATTACCAGACCATGCCAAAAGGAAGGAAAATAGAAACCATAATCAAGAGAAATACTAAGCAGACCACAAAATGACAGTTGCTGAATCTGCAGACAGGGACTGTAAAATGGATATTGTAAAACATCTTAAAAATACACTCCAGATGTAAAAGAAATCACAAACAAGATGAAGAAATGAAAAATCCAAAAAAGACCTAAATGAAGTTCTAAAGAAAAAATACAACATCTGAAATGAAAAAATACCCTGGATAGAATTAACAGCAGATCCAAAACCCCTTAGAAAACTCCCATGAACTCGATGGCACAAGAAAAGAAACTACCAGAAAGAAGCACTGAGAAGAAAAGAGAATGGAAAATGGTAGCCTGTAGGACAGTATTGAGCATTCCAGCATACACGTATCATGATGATATGGTGATCTCATCATATGTATCATACATATAGGATATCATACATATATCTACATGTGGTATATCATGTGATATACATATAGGATACATATATGACACCATACATATATGGTACATGTGATGAGATCACCATATCATCGTGATAACGTGTGTATGTTGGAATGCTCAATACTTAATATATGATATACATACAATACCGTATGTATCATATACATCTGTATCACACATACAACATACAGAATTTAAAATGAGCTTGTCACAAGCTTGCTGGGATTATGGACGAGGCTGTGCTGGGTCTGTAGGCCAGTTTGGGACGAAGCAACATCTTGATACAACAGAGTTCCTAGTCTGCAGACGTGATTTCTCTTCATTTATGTGTTCTCGGAATTTCAACAGTATTGTGTAGCCTTTATTGTAGAGATTTTGCATGCTTCTGATGAATTTTTTCTAAGCATTTTAGGTTTTTGACATTATCATAAATGGGGTTATGCTTTAGTTTCCTGGGGCTCCCATAACAAAATGCTATAAACTGGGTGTCTTCTAACAACAGAAATTTGTTCTTGGGGCGCCTGGGTGGCTCAGTCATTAACCGTCTGCTTTCAGCTCGGGTCATGATCCCCGAGTCCTGGGATCGAGCACCGCATCAGGCTCCCTGCTCCTCGGGCAGCCTGCTTCTCCCTCTCCCAGTACCCTCTCTTATGTTCTGTCTCTGTCAATTAAACAAATCTTAAAGAAAAAAGTTTATTCTCAAAAGTCCTGGAGGATATAACCCAAAATCCCTGGGGGGATATATACTGCAAAACACAGGTATCCACAGGATTGGTTCCTTTTAGAGGTTGTAAAGAACCATCAGTTCTATGCCCCCCTCCTGGCTTCTCCTGGCAATCCTTGGTTTGTAGAGATGTCCCTCCAAGTCTCTCTCCGTTTTCATACGGTCTCCTCCCTATATCTCTGTGTTTGTGTCTTGTCTTTTTTTTTTTTTTTAAGATTTTAAGTAATCACACCAACATGGGGCTTGAACTCACAACCCCGAGATCAAGAGCTAGCTGCGTGCCCCACCAGCTGAGCCAGCACCTCTATCTCTCCTCTTCTAAGGATGCGAGTCACTGGGTTTGGGGCCCACCCTCATCCAAGCACATCATCATCTCATAGGACATCTGCAAAGACCCGATATCCAAGTAAGGTCATATTCACAGGTTCTGGGGGTTGGGACTTAACATCTTTTTAGTCACCTTACGTTTTGGGGAAACAGGTTTTAAATTCCCTGCAAATATATGGCAGTATGATAGGTTTTTCATACATTGAACTTTTTATCTTGAGATTGTCAAACTCAATTCTAAACTTCAAGATCAGCTAGGACTTTTTACATCTATAATCATGTCATCTACAAATAAGGACCGTTTCTTCTAATTTTTCTGTTCTTTATTCCTTTTATTAATTTACTGCACTGGGTAGACCCTCTGGTACAATGTAGGATTGCAGCCGTAAGAGCGCACACCCTTGCCTCAATGGAAACCTGAGCAGGGACAGATGGCACTTGGTATCCGTCATCAGACAGAACGGTAGCCGTAGGGTCTTGGACATACGTCTTTTATCAGATTGAGGAAATGCCTTCTATTCCTGGTTTGCTGAGTGTTTTTATCATGAGTGGGCATTAAATTTTGTCATACGCTTTTTCAGCTTCTATTGAGATGATCATGTTTTTTTCTGTTACTCTGGTGAATTACAATCAGTGTTGGGGTTTTTATCAAGATTTTAATTATTTGGGGTGCCTGGGTGGCTCAGTTGGTTAAGCGGCTGCCTTCGGCTCAGGTCATGATCCTGGTGTCCTGGGATCAAGTCCCACGTCCAGGTCCTTGCTCAGTGGGGAGCCTGCTTCTCCCTCTCCCTCTCCCTCTGCCTGCCACTCCCCCTGCCTCTGCATGCATTCTCTCCCTCTGACAAATGAATAAATAAAATCTTTTAAAAAATAAAGATTTTATTTATTTATTTGACAGAGCACAAGCAGGGTGAGGGGCAGAGGGAGAAGCAGACTCCCCGCTGAGCAGAGAGCCCAATTTGGGCTCAATCCTAGGACCCTGGGATTATGACCTGAGCCGAAGGCAGGCACTTAACTGACTGAGCCAGCCCGGCGCCCTAGTGCTTTCTTTTTTTTTTTTTTTAAATAATCAATCTTGTATCTCTGATTAGAATTCTACTTGCTTGTGACTTACTATCCTTTTTATATCTAATTCAATTTAATTTTTTTAAGATTTTATTTATGTGACAGATCACAAGTAGGCAGAGAGGCAGGCAGAGAGAGGAGGAAGCAGGCTCCCTGCTGAGCAGAGAGCCTGATGCGGAGCTCGATCCCAGGACCCTGAGACCATGACCTGAGCCGAAGGCAGAGGCTTTAACCCACTGAGCCACCCAGGTGCCCCAAGATTTTATTTTTAAGTTCAAACACAACCCCAAGTTCAAGAGTTGTATGCTCTAACGACTGAGCCAGCCAGGCGCCCATCTAGTATTTTCTCTTGCATATTGCACTTGTGGTTGTACAGTGCAAGGTCCGAGGTTCTGCCTGCCTCTAAGGAAAGTTGGTTTTTAGTCCAGTAGGCACGTGATTTGTTGGTTGATTACCTGGGAGTCGTATGCCTTCCTAGAGCAAGGACTATTTGCATTTTGTCCTGGGATGTCAACTTATTCCTGAGGCATGGCCCTTCTGGGGTTTCAAAGGAAAACCCAAAGTGTTACCAAGCCCTTCTAACCTCGAGGGACCCATGATTTAAAGCTGTCACCCTGCAATATTAAGCCACTGGGATGTCTGTTTAGCTGTTTTCCATCTGCTGTTCTCACCCCAGAATCCTTGGGGTCTTACTCAAAGCACACACAATTTGGGGTCAGCCAAGGATTTGAGGGTTCCCCCTTTTGTGGCTCCCTTCTCTCTGGGATGTCCCCATCCTCTCTTTCCAGTGTTCAGATGTCCACAGACTCTTCCAGTTCTGACAAGCTTTTCTGCTATAGCCTACCCACCCCATGCCACAGACGCCGGATCCCCTCTAGCTGGGCTCCAGCAGACGGGTGCGCAGGGAGTCCCAGAGGAGGTGACATCTGAACTCTGACATGAGGAGAACTTATTAACCACACGGAAGGGTGAGTTCCAGGAAGAAATACAGACTGTGCAATTAAAAACACGGGTTCAAATCCCAGCTTTGTCACTCAGCCACTGTGTGACCTTGGGCAAGTGAATTAATCCCTCTGTGCCTCATTTTCCTTGTCTGTGTTGACATCCTGGAATTGCTACAAGGGTTAAATGAATGAACCCTGGCAAACGCTTATTAGCACAGCACGTCGGTCTCCCCTCCCGCCTTCTCATTTCTGTCCCTGCTCCACTGACAAGCCCTACACAGCCATACCTTCCCCTTGCTGTCGCACCTGCTTCCTCTCCTTATTTCCAGCCCTTTACTTCACACCCTGGGGTGGGGCTGAACTAGCCCAGAGGCAAAGCTGGTCTGGCCCCAGGTCCCGTGGGCCCTGACAGGCATGCCTGCCTGGATTCCGGCCAGTCCATCTCGGTCCCTTGGCAGGTGGCAAACACGAGAGTGTTTCTCCTCACCAGCTGGTCTAAAGTCCCACCTGGCTGGGAATACTGCCATCCCCGCGCCCCAGACCCCAGGATGCACTCGAAGAGCAGTCACCTGAGCAAGTACGTTTATTATGAAAGTAAGTGCATATGAAATGTCCCCTGATTTGCAGATCCGGGGCAAAAGCGACTGCAGTACAAGTGAGCAGATGCACGGCTCTGCGGTGGCAGACACCGGCCCCCAGGTGCAAGATCTGCCGCAATGCTTGCTTCTGCAAACCTCCTGGTCCTTATTCAACACAACAAGGCAGGCCGCCTTTCACCCTGGGGCCCACATGTGCGATCCCCGCAGGCAGCCCACTCTTGCCAGCAGCTGCAGTGCCCCGGGTGTGGGTGGGCGGCGCGGGATGGTGGCATTGGCTGGCTCCCTGCTTCTGGCTGCTCCCGGCTCAATCTGGCAGCTGGGGGGCCATTCTCCCTCCCGGAGATGTCCCCAGTCTGTTCCATCACCCAAGGAAGACCAAGATGGATCAGAAGCCCCTCAGCCCATTCTGGTCCCCAGATCTCGAGGGCTCTCCCCACTCCCGGCATTGGGCTCACTGGCAGCACTCGGCCACGTGCCTGAAGAGCTCCTCGCCTTGCTCATCACCAAAGCTCCGCAGGCAGTGAGGGCACTGAAGGTCCCCCTGTCCTCTCCGGGCCGCCCCTGGGCACCGGCCTTCAGCAGGGGAGTCTAGCCCCTGAGATCCAGTCCCAGCCCTCCGTCCACTGGGCACCACAAGCTCCAGAGCATCGGCCTCTAAGTACTTGGAGGTTCTGTTTCCCATGTGAGTCCGGCAGGAGCCTGGCTCTCGACGCTCCTGGAAAAGAGGCAAGGGTCCATGTACATGAGTTGCCCTAGAGTCCCCCAAATCACGTGCTGGGCTCTCGCACTTGAGGTGTTTCTTCTATCCCTGCGAGGGACTTGCACCCCTCCCCACTTCCTGAAGTGGCCCAGAGCCCACACTTGTCGCTGCTCTGACCAGAACCAGAGCCCACACGCCCACACCCCGGCGTGTGCTCCCAGGGATGGGACCTGGAGCTGGTTCTGGTCACTCCTCTTAACCCTGAGTCGCTGATCGGCTACTGACCTTTCCACACCATTAATGATCTTTCCACCCAAGAGCACGTGCTTCCTCAAGAAAACCCGCAGGCCAAGGCAGATGGTTGGGAAGAAATGCCCAGCCGAGCCAGACAACACCCTGTTCCCACCCAGCGCACATGGCAGGATTCTCAACCACAGCCTGTAGTCCCAGCGCCCGAGGAGAAGCAGGAACCCCCGCAGGACACTGAGGAGGCTGCAGGGGCTGCTGCAGACTCGGACACAGCTCGGCCACGGTCCCCACCCACTTTACCCACAAGTCGGAACAGCTGCCTCTGTCAAGGCCCACTGCTACGGACTGCGTCCACGAGTGTGAGAAAGGGGGTCCCCATGACTCCCATACCCTGCCCGCAGTGGGGAACACATGAGCCATCAACGAACCCCAGTGGCCATGCCACAGGCCAGAAGGGGCAGCTCCAAGGTCCGCCCAGTATGTTGAGCCCCAGAGGGGCTACTACTGCCCAGTCTGTGTCCAGACGGAAGTTCTCTGAGGGGCCCAGGGTTCACTCCGGGGCCAGAGGTGTTGTGGGTACTCGCTGAGGGGCTAAAGAAAATAAGCTTTCCTAGGGCGTCTGCAGGGCAGCGAGGGGGCCAGAGCGGGCCAGAGCAGAGAGGGGAAGAGGCAGGTGGGTGCCGGGGGTCCCGCAGTGAGAGACTTTGTCAATTCTGAGGCCTCCCAGACCTCCCTGGGTAGGGTGGTGGGCCCAGTGGCCCACAAGGCCCATCTCTCCGCACAGAGGCCATGAGTTGGGGGACACCAGTGGGCACCTGGGGCCTCGGTACCCAGGTCTGCGGAATGGGGTAACCAAGGTCCCCATCTCACAGCAAGGAGGGGACGTATATGAAGGAAGGCCTGGTAGGGAGCTCGGAGCCCAGGACATGCCCCACAGCCAGCCACCTCCGCTGTCACAACACCATGACAGAGGGCTTCCGCCATTGTGCCCCAGGCACCAGGCAAGGCAGCTCTGACCCCAGTGGGGCAAAAGGGGCTTGAACCGTGACAAACGTCTTGGACCGACGCTTGAAATTCATGAGAAGGAAAACAAGAGAAACGCCAAGCCTAAACGAGGAGAAAAGCGCTTGGGCCCTACCTGTGTCCAGGATGCCTGCTGCCGCAAGGAGGCCACCTCCTCCTCGAGCTCCTGAATCCTGCCCTGGGCCCGCTCTCGGTCTGCACGTTCTGAGGTGAAATCATCCTTGTAAGCGAGGATCTGAAAGGAGGCGAGACACTGGGCTGTCCGGTGCCGAGGCGCGTCCACTCGGGAAGGAGAAGGTTCCCGTGGACGGACCACCCCCACCACTGGGCCCCAGGCACCCCGATCAGACACCTGCTGCTCCAGCATCTGCACCCGTTCCAGCGCCGCATCACGCGCCCCCCGCACGGCCACCAGCTCCCGCCTCACGTCGGCGCAGGCACGGATCTTCTCCTCCAGCTGCCTGTTGAGCCTAGAAATCTCCTTCCTCATCAGCTCAGGGCAAGAGGGCCTGGCTGGCTCGGGGGGCGCCCGCAGCCCCTGCATCTGTGCATGGAGCCCCCGCACATACTCATCCCTGCTGGCGTCGTAGCGCTGCCACTTGGCATTGAGGTCTTCCACCTGAGGGGACACGGCCGAGGCCGGGAAGCTCTCTGTGAGCAATAATGAGCTGCTGAGTTCTTCCCCGTAAATGCACATTGCCTCGCTTGCTCTGTCCCAAGGGGACACTGAGACCACCAGACACGCAAGGTGCGGAGAGGACATCCACGAGCCACGGTCTTCCACAGAAATGGACTGGGTGCCATTCTCCTGCCTTAAAAGCCGTGCTTGACAGAAACTCCTGCACCTCCTTTCTCGACCCACGAGTTAACCCGGGGGACAGCAGAACACAGGCCGGGTCTCTGCACTCTTAGGCAAAATGTGTAGGTCTCAGACTGTGTGTGTCAGCCCAAGTGGCCCAAGGGGGACACGAGCCCTGAGCACCATTGAGAGGGTAGGACCCTCTCCTACAGTTGAATGAAAGGGGACAGATACTCACATGAGTCACCTTCTGTCGTAATAGTCGATTTTCTTCCCGTAACTTCTCAATAACGGCCTGGACAGAGGCAGCCATGTCTGTACACTCTGGCTGCAGAAGGAAGGGACGGGGAAGATGCCGTGTTGCTGAACATGACACACGCAGCAAGAAGGGAGGAAGCTAGACCTGCAGACTGAGGCCCCAGATGGTCGCCACATCTGGCAACACGTCCCCTGGCAGCTGTGCATTCAGGAGAGAAGCAAAGCAGAGAGTCGAAAGGTTGGGGGGGAATGCAATTTGCTCTGGCCCCGCCCAGGCCCGCCATGAAGAGCAGTTTCCACGCCCCTGCCGTGGACTCGCACACAGTCGCACGGTCTCCCACAGCCTCAGATCCTCCATCATCACAGGAGTCAGGAGGGTAGGCAGCTTAGCCCCGTGGTGCAGCAGGGAAGGCTCTGGCCCTGGGCTGCCTGGCGCAGGCCTGACCAGGAAGCCAGCTCCCCTCGTCCAAGCCCATGACAGCGTCGTGTCTGCAGAGTCACAGTTGGCCCCGGTGGTTCCATATGCAGCAGTCGGACCCACACCATGCTCACACCTAAAAGCCACATCCCAAACCAACCCTAACAGTGGTGAGCAGACCTAAGCGGAAAGTCTCATGAGAAGTCCCATCTGAATCTGAGAAATTCAGTGCATTTAACAGAATGGGGGGCTGTATGTTGGTGACTCGTTTCTGAGAATTCCCCTTGAATGATAAAGGAAGTGTGTGTCCTCACCGAGCAGGACCCGGGAAGCCCCAGGTGACTCAGCTGCGTCCCAGGCTGAAAAAGATGCTGGGGCCTCACCGACCCCACAGCAGCCCCAGGCCACCCCTCCTGCGTAGCTACTTCCAAGTTCCCACAAGGAAATGACACAGTGACTCAAAGTCAGATGAGCGTGCCCACTCATCCTATGGCTTTTGAGATACACAGATGTTCTTTCTGAGGTTCTCTTTTCATGGAATCCCGCCCCCCACCAATGGCAACGGGTGGTTCTCAGATCAAGCTTCTTCCCACACGGGCTCTCAGTGAAGATGCTGCAAAGGACCTGTTCCCCTGGAACATCGCAGAGTGTGTTTCCAACACGAATGCGGTGGCAGCTCCAGAGAGCCACCTGGGGAGGACCCGGCTCCGTGAGGACCCTGCCCGGCACGTCTCCGGCCGGCTATGCGGGAGGCCCCAGGCAAGGCCGGCACCCACTGCCCTTATGGCAGGCTGGGGCATGGACTGGGCAGTTTGCCATCTGCCCAATGTGCAAGGACTCGAGCTTGCTCAGAGCAGGCCTGCAGCCCCAGCTCTGCCCTCTGCTCCTCAGCCGAGTGAGGCTGAAGAGGCCAAAGTGCTCAGGGCCATCCCGGGAGGCAGGTGCTGGTAAAACAGGCCGCCCTCACTTCCTATCACATTTTGCATGTTCCCTCCTTCTAGAAGAAACCTCTGGGTGGCTGGGCTTTGCCACAACAGCTGGGTCTCAGGCTGAGAAGAGCAGTGGGCTCTGGGCGCCCCAATCCCCCTGACAGCTGCAGGATGGTACAGCCCCAACACAGCGTCTCCCGCCCCAGTGAGGCCTTCTCCGCCCTCTACACACAGGCATGGGCTTACCTCGGGGCTCTTGTCCCCCACGTCCCCCTGAGCATGCTGTCGTTCATCCAGACACTTAGCCAGATGCTGGCACATGTGGGCGGTGGCGGCCAGAGTCCTCCGCAGCTGATGGGTCTCCTCAGCCAAGGAGCGGCACAGGATGTCGCTGGCAGCCCGGGCACGTTCCTTCTCTGCCACGCTCCTCCGCAGCTGGGCCACCTCCTTCTCCCGCTCGTGCTCTGGCTGGCTCATCAGCTGCTGCGCTGCCTTCTCTTTCTCTTCTAGTTGCTCTGAAAGTCTCTCAATTTCCTAAGTGGAAGATTTCAAAGCACAGTTTATTTGAGTGAAAGAAACAAGGCCAGAAACAGATGTTCATAAAACAAGAGAAGCAGCAGCACGGATCCGCCATCGCTGACTGACCGGGTTGCTCGGAGGTCAGCTTCGGAACTATAATTAACTGGGGTTCTCAGCTTCTGATGTTCTTTCTGAAAGTTCATGTAAAATTCAGCTTTCACGAGCAAGTTCACAATTTTAGACAGTACATCACCAAATTACTAAATTTGGTAGCTCCAAAGGCTTCTTCATGGAAAGGCTAGAAACTGCAGTGGCCAGTCCCCAAAGTACGCTTGTGTCCTAACCCCCAGTGCTTGGAATAGGACTTTATTGAGAAGCAGGGTCCTTGCAGATGTAACCAGTTAAGAGGGAGCCATTCTGTGTTAGAACAGGCCCTGATCCGGTGACTGTGTGCTTAGGAGAAGGAAGTACGGACACAGACACAAGCCTGAGTCAGGATGGGGCTGAGGGCAAAGAGATGCAGCACGGGCCGCGAAAGCCCCCAGAAGCTGTAAGAGGTGGAGGGAGACCCTCCCCCAGAGCCTCAGAGGGAGTGTTGCCCCGCCGACACTTTCAGCTCAGGCTCTGGCCTCTAGAAGTGCAGAAGATGACAGATTACACCGCTTCCATTCTAGCCCCGTTTATACCTGTTACGGCAGGTATAGGAAACGAATACACCCAACCCCAATCACTTCATTTAAAAAAAAAAAAAAAAAAAGAAGAAGTCCTTAAAATTACAGTCTGTTTGATGTCTGGCCTTAATTTTGTGCTTTTCCGTTTCAAAGAAGCCTGCAGCGCCTGCAGTGAGAGCAGGTGGGCAGAGTGAGCGAGTGGGGCCTGCAGGTGCAAAACCAGCAAGGCTGGGCTTCGGCAGGAGGGCGTGCAGGGAAGGGAGCTGGCCTCCCTGCCAAGTCCCAAGCAGCTTGTGCCCCCCGACCCCACCCACAGCTGTGAGGAGGGACAGACTCCAGGACCCCCAGCAGAAGGCGATGCCAGGCCATGTTACTTAAGAACCCCTATTTGCTTTAAGCAAAAACAGTGCACGTGGTTGTCACAAATTCAAACATACAGAAGGAAATTCTGTGAAAACTGAAATCCCTCTGTTCCCACTGACCCTTTCACCTCAAGCACCACTTTCCAGAGGTATTTCCTCTTCACCATTTGGGCACATATCTTTCCAGAATGTGTCTAAGCATCTACAGCAGCAGTCTTCATGCACAGATGGGGCCAACAACAGCGTGTCCTTCACCTTGCTCCTACTACCTCGTTCCAAAGCAGCACAGACATGCCTCGTTCCTTCCAACCGCAGCCTGGAACCCCAGAGAAGATTCCAGGTTTGTGGAGCACACCTCCAGCTGATGGAGTGCGCGTACCCCCACAGAGACATGCCCAGAAGTCACACAGCTGGACCATTTCAGGACTGGTGGGGGCGCCTGGGCGGTTCAGTCAGATAAATGTCTGCCTTTGACTCAGGTCGTGATCCTAGGGTCCTGGCATCAAGTCCCGCATTGAGCTCCCTGCTCAGTGGGGAGCCTTGTTCTCCCTCTGCCTGCTGTGACCCCTGCTTGTGTGTGTGTGTTTGCCCCCCCCCTTCTCTCTCTCTCTGTCAAATAAATAAATAAAGTCTTAAAAAAAAAAAAAAGAAAGAAAGAAAGAACCTAGCTCACGTGGAGGTTTGCTGGGGAACGTTACCCTACGGAGCTGGGAATACGAAAGTGTGAAGAATTCTGTAGTCTTGTGGATCAGCCTTAAAAATATGAGGCATAGCCCCCTGGTCCTCCATCTCTCTGTTAGTGTGCTCAGACTGCCCTAATAACAGAAGATTACTCTCACAGTTCTGGAAGCCAGAAGTCCAAACCCAGGCATCACTAGGGCCATGCTTCTTCCACAGCAAAAAGGAAGAATCTTTGTCTCTTCCAGCTTCTAGTGGTTGCCAGTAATCCTGCGCTTGTACACACCACTCCAATCTCTGCTTCTGTCTTCACATGGCCTTCTGATAAGGACACCAATCATCAATTCAACCCTAATCCACATGACATCATTCAAATTCATCACATCTTGCAAAGACTCAATTTCCAAAAAAGGTCCCATTCACAGGTTCCAGACGGAAATGAATTGGAGGTGGAGGGGACACTGTTCAACCCAGTACAGTCCCCCTTCTCTCTCCTTCCTGAGCATCGTAGCCCAGTGCAGGGCTGCATGGGACCAGCCCCTATGGGACTGCAAGAGAATGAGAACAAACAGGAATTTTAAGGCCAGTTAACTGAGCCTTTACACAAGAAGCAAACACTTCAGAGGGACCCTGGGACGCAGCAATGAGAGAGCAGCCTGCTCCCTGCCCTCCAGAAGAGCGCAGTGGAGAGCAAGGCGAACAGACAAGGACAAAACCTAACACAGCTTCGAGGATTCTGGGAAGCTGGGGGAGCAGGAAGCACCAGGAATCTATCTCCCCACCTGAAAAACAGCTGCAATGGCAAAGTCCATCTAATGTCATTATTTTGGAAAGCTGGGATCTACTGAAGCATTCCAACTTCCAGGGGAGGACTTGGCCCTTCAACTGAGGTTAATTTCAACCAATTTCAGCTCTTAGCGCATCTCCCACACCCAGCCACCTGCATGTGTCTCTGCAGCAACCAGCACACATCTTGCAGAAGCCAGGGCGGGCAAAAAAGACCCTGTCCTCCAAACACTAGAAATCTGTGCTCTCATCATTGAGTGCTGCTTCCTGTCACAAGGGTGACAGAAGAGAGAGCCACTTTGCTTCCCCAAGGTTGCAAAGACCCTCTCCTCTAGCTGAAGTGACTTGGACATTTAAAGGGAGGGAGCCATTTTCCCTCCTTACATTTTTCTCTTTTCCCCCCTTTGGGAACCAGACACTAAAGACAAGGATATCAGGCCTGGTTACTTACATATATACATATGTACATAAAAATGCACACACAAAATAAAGACAAGGACATTCAGAAGCAACTACATATAAAGAGAAATTTAGGAAGTGCCCACATTTGACCAGAAAAAGGTGCAGGCTCAGAAGAGACCTGAGCAAACCCTGAGTTACCCCTCAGGCTGATCCCTGGCACAGAGACGGCCTACAACAATCAAAGGAAAAAACATAAAATCTTGAAGGGGAAGAATCTGATTTCCAGACATAAAACACTATTAGATCCAAATGTCCAGTTCTTAACAAAAAAAAACACAAGGCACACAAAGACACAGGAAAATATGGCCTATTCAAAGGAAAAAAATTTAATCAACAATTATCCCTTTAAAAGACCTGATGGCAGATCTTCTATACAAAGACTTTTTAAGACCACCATCTTAAAAAATACACAGAAAATGAAAAGATGTGGAAAATGTCAACAAAGCGTAATATGAACAAAATGCAAATATGAATAAAGAGTCTCTAAAAACCTAAAAAGAAACCAAAAAATTCTGAGGCTAAAAAGTACAATGACTGAGATGAAAAATCCACTAGAGATTCAAAGGAAGATTTTAACTGGCAGAAGTATCAGCAAAGTTAAAGCTAGAACAAGGAAAATCATCAAGGCTAAGGAACAGGAAAAAAAAAGACTGAAGCAAACAGAGCCCTTAGGGCATGTGGGACGCCATCAAGCGGACCAGCATACACACACTGTGGATGTCTCAGAAGGAGTGAGAGAAAGGGGTAGAAAGAACATTTGAAGAAAAAACTTCCCAAAGTTGATGAAAGACATGAATATAAACATCCAAGCAGCTCAACAAACTCGAAATAAGATGAACACAAAAAGACCAACACTAGAACACATTATAATCGGTCTTCTGAAAGCCAAAGATAAAGAATCTTGAAGGCAGCCAAGAGAGAAGCTACTCGTCACATCCCAGGGGTCCTCAATGAGATAATCATGAGATTACTCATCTGTCACTTCAAAAGCTAGAAAGCAGCGAGCCCATATATTCAAATGCTAAAAGAAAAAACTGTAAACCAAGAATCCTATATCCATCAAAATTGCACTTCCAGAGTGAGGGAGAAACTACAACATTCCCAGATTAACAAAGCTGAGGGTGTTTGTCCCCACAAGACCCACCTGGCAAAAAATGCTCAAGGGGGTTCTTTAGGGTGAAATTAAAGGACACCAGACAGTAACTCAAACCTGTATGAAGAAATAAAGATGTAAACGCATTGTCAACTACGAGAGCTATTATTATTGTAACAAGAGTTTATAATTCCATTTTTCCCTTCTACACGATTTAAAAGACTAAGATACTTTTTAAAAGTTACTAGTCTAAAAGTTAGTATTATTGTAATTTTGGTTTATAACCTCGTATTTCTTCATGTAATTTAAGAGACTAATGTATTTAAAAGATTAGTTTATGTGTTTACTAATTAGTTTATGTATTTACTAATGTATTTAAAAGATTAGTTTATGGGTCTCCTGGGTGGCTCAGCAAGTTGGGGATCTGACTCTTCGTCTTGGTTCAGGTCTTGATCTTGGGGTTGTGAGTTCAAGCCCTGCACTGAGCTCCAAACTGGGTGCTGGGCCTACTTAAATAAATAACTAATTCCAAAATTAAAAGATTGGTTTATGTTTGGGGGCACAGGATGTATAAAGATGTAATTTTGTGACATCAACAACTGAAAGGGATGAGGACAGAATTGTAAAGGAGCAGAGTTTTTTATGTTATTTAAGCTAACCTGATAAGCAACTTAGAATAGTGTAACTTTAGGATGTTAAACATAATTCCCGTTGTAAACACATACACACACTCACACACAAAAGCTGTAGAACATTGCTCACTTTGGCAGCACATATACTTAAAAAGCTGTGGAATATATACACAAAGAAATGAGAAAGTTAATACTTCACTACAAATATGAGAATAAACACAAAGACAGTGAAGCAGAAAATGAGGAACAAAAAGGCTATAAGACATCTAATTCACCCTTATCAATAATTACCCTAAGTATTAATGGAATTAATATTAATTGGCAGAATGGA